GTTGCCTCTGCATTGGCATCTGAAGCCTGGGCCATCTGGAAGGCGTGCTATTTGGCATTGACTGAAGGCTGGAGGTTTGTTATTTTTGAAAGTGACTCCAAAGCTCTCATTGATTCTTTGGTGCTGGGGCTGCAAAGTCATTGAGGGAGGTTGAACCACTTCAGCGTGATGTATATGGCTTCTGTCTTCCCAGCTCACTGCTGTTAATTTTCTTTTTGTCAACAGATCTGCTAATCACTTAGCTCACATGGTTGCTCATCTGACCAATTGTGGGAGTCTCTCTGTTGACTGATTTTTGAATCCTCCATTTCATGTGTTGCAACAGAACCAGCAGGATGTTCATGTGGACATCGGTTAGTTCCTGTTGCTTATTTTTTTGTTGTAAGTATATTTTTTGTAAGTCTGTTTTATGAATGACCAAAAAAAAAAATGACCCAAAAAGTATAAATAAATAGAAAATGGGTTTATTCCCATATGGGTCATGGCCTTCACGGGTGGGCGCTACAGCATCATGGGTGGGCACCATTAGCTAGTACAACTAAAAAAAGTTAAAGATGATAACACATAGGTGTTGGGATTTCTCACGATTTGAATCCACTAACAAACACACACAATCGAAGAACAAATCAAGAATATAAAGTAATAAGAAACAAGAAAGAACAAGACACAGATTTTACGTGGTTCGGCAATTTGCCTACGTCCACGAAACTGCAGGGATTTCACTATTGAGAGAGTTGAATACAGAGAGCGACTGTACCATACACAATTAACCCTAATCACCAAAACAACAGGGTTTATATGTCCTACGCACTGGGCTGTATAACGGGCCCAAAAAAAAAATTTTCCTCGGGGGCGTTGCCCCCGAACCCCCACGAGGCTTGTCCATGAGCGCTACGGCTTGGGCCTATCGGCCCAAGCCTTCGCTCCATGGACTAAGCCTCAGAAAATTTTCCATTAAAAACCACACAACATTATTTCGGGTCGGGGTCATCATCCGGATCACATATACAAACTAGACTCCATAAAAATAAACCAACAATAGGCAATGATAAGAAAACTTTTAGGGTGGGCGAGTGCCCCCTCTGGGCTGCACTGGCTTCGCCCGTGATGGTGCCCCATATTCGAATTTCCATTTTCTTTCCTTTTTATTAATTTCCTTAAAGAAGAGGAAAACAACACCAATTTCAATTTTTATACACACACACACACACATTTGTGGTTCATAAACACACACTTTGAGTGCATTTGTCTTTGTGATTTCATCTGTTATTTCTATAGCTAATCATTTTTTGCACTTAGAGGTGTTCACCTTACCCTACAGATAAAAAATATAATTTTTTGTTTTTTTATCTGATATTTTACAGAAGAATTTTTTATTGACCTACCCTACCCGATCAAGTGTAGTATTCCTATCCGACTTCTAGCTAAATTAATCAAGTAAGAAGTCGGATAAAAAATCGGGTGAACAATTTTATAGTTATTAATTTTTGGATCATTTTAACAATTCAATTAAATAACACGCATTAATTTAATAACACAATAAACCAATAACACTAAAATTTAAAACAATTACAATAAAACACAAGAAACTATAAATATCAATCCATCATAATTGTTGCACAAATACAATAACAATTATTTTAATTTTAAATCATATGGTTAGGGAATTATATATATACATATACATATATATATATATATATATATATATATATATATATATATATATATAAATTAATGCAGGTATAGTAGGAATACAGAAATGAATGATTATTCCGTATTCTTATTCGATTTTATCGGAAGACCAAAAACTCTTTCACATTCTTACTCGAATTTTTTGACTAGCCGTTCAATAGGGTCGAAAATTGGGGTTAATCAAAAATTTCAACACCCCTATTTACACCCATTCAAAGATTCCCTCTCTCTCTGGTTGCTAATTGCTACATCTCATATAAGGCTCTCCTAATAGACCTGCATTTGAAAGAAGAATATCTATTATCACCAGAAATAATTTTTTTTTCCTGGCACGACATAGAAAGAAGAACACTAAGATGGTGGGGCATAACCCCGTACAGATAGACAATTTCGAAATCTTACCTGCAAAATTTGTAGAACAGTATTTTAAGCAAATTTGCAAATTCTATGATGCCTTCTGTAACATTTCATGAGAGACAATAACATCTAAGCAAAAAAAACAGTAAGGGCTTGACTATGGTACCGAAAAATAAAATTTTTGTACCATATCAAAATTTACTTATATTTATGAGTATTTTTATCGCTGTGTGCTTTGGTAAATTTTTTTGTATCGGATAAAAGTGATAAAAACACTTGCAAAAGTAATAAATTATCCACAAAAATGAAAAAAAATTTAGTTATTAGTATACATTTTGAAATAGTAAACTTTAGAGGTATAGTACCGTAATCAAATCCAAACAGTAGACTGAACTTTTAAGAGTGTTGTGATTGAATTGTTGCTTACCTCTATGCCGAATGAAAATATTTACCTTCAGCTTATTCTGGCATTGAATTCAATAGAATTATTTAAGAGTGGAAACATAAATAATATTAGCAAATGCAAAAAACTATAACCAAAATCCCTGCGTCAAGGCACTTTATGAAAATTGGGAATTATTATATTATAATTGAGCTTCATGCTTGAAAATATTTGCAAAATTGTCACCCAAAAAGTTTTATAATGTGGAGTCAGAAATTTTGTTTAAAGCGAAAATATCTCAAGGAAGTTTTCCTGTAAATCTTTCATGAAATATTGACTCATAACTTGATATCGTCTCTAATGATGTGTGTGGTAGGGTAGATGAAACAAATAGAATGAAAAAAAGTATAAGTTATATACTTTTTATCTTTTACGGGAGGAATTTTTTCTTCCCTCATTTGAGTTTGTTTTGAGAGGATTGATTTTTTATGTTTGGTATGAAGAAAAAGTGGATAGTTAAGAAAACTACAGACACATATTTTACCATTGTATCTATATATAAGATTAATGTGTATGTAATACATAATAAATAAATATCATATATGTATATATTAAAGGATATAGAGGTAAATAACATATATTTCAACGCAGTAATTAACTTTTAACACACTTTTCCTCTTAATTTTGGAGGAATAGATTTTAGTGGGTTGAAAATAAAACTAATCCGTCTATTTTTCTTATTTTTCTTTCTTAGTGAACATGATGTTTTATCTATCTTTTTTACTTTCTATCATTCAATTTTTTCATTGTATCAAACAAAACATAAAAGAAACATAAACCATAGAAATCATTCGTCCAAGGGAGTTGATAAACCTTACTTCCCAATCTTTTAACCCTAATTTATGATATCGAATTGTAAGTCTCCCTTAAAAGTAATCTATATAATGAAATATAGTACAATTCAAATTTCAAAAAATAAATAAAATAAATTTTATTATTCACAATTGAGATCATCTTAAATTTTACTTTAAAGTTAATTTAACGGCTAATATTTACACTCCAAAATTAATAGGAAAAATAGGGTCCTAAAGATGTGTTTGAAGTGATTTTTAAAAATATTTTTACGAATTATTTCTCATAAGTACTTTAAAAAAAATAGTGTTTGAAACCGCTCCACTATTACCTTTACCCCCACCACCCCCACCACCATTATTATCCTCGCTGCCACCATCATTATCGCCACCCTACCATACCCTCCACCTCATCACCACCGTCGTTGTCACCATCTTACCACCACCATCACCATTTTCATTGTCCCACCACTATCACCACCCTCCAGCATAATCACCACCACTATAGTTGTCGCACCTTACCACTGTTGTTATTGTCCACCATCACCCCCATCGCCCCACCACCACTCTCATGACCATCACAACTACCATCACCACCGCCACCCCCACCATCGCCACTGCCCCACCTCCACCCCCACCCTCACTGCTCCACCGCCACCCATACCCCACTCCCACTGTCGCACCGCCACCCACCACCGATTGCTACCCTCACTGCTCTACCGCCATCCACACTATCGCCACTGCCCCACCTCCGCCCCCACCCCCTTCACCCCACCGCCATCCACCACCGATTGCTATCATCGTCGTCTATAGCCACCACCAACTGCCCTCATTTGTCATCGCTCACCATTATAGCCACCCACAGTCACCTACCCCCACTACACTTACCACCGCCGCCATTCGCCACCACTCATCACACTATCGCCTAAAAGCACTCATCGTCGCCCACCACTACCACCACCACCACCACCGCCCACACTCACCACCATCGTTATCACCCACGACTGCCACTACCATCATCGTTACTCAAAACCCACCACCATCATCACCATTATCACCCACAGCTACTACCACCACCACGGCCATCGCCTTACCCACCACAACCATTACCACTATCCCACCACCACTACCACCGTTCACCCCTATTATAATCGATATTTAAATTTTTTTTATCTCTCCTCTATATTTATAATTTGATTTTAGGTGTAAATATAAATATATTGGCCATTTTTTTTATTATTCCGTACCTTCAAACATGAGGAATAACTAATTTTTCAATATTGTAATTGGATTGTTAAGGCAAAACCACAGCAGTAGTGACCAAGAAATCACAACGGGCATAGTCGGTAGTACAATTGGTTTATAGTCTTTAACACGTTCCACGAACAACCAGGAATTGAGGGCATCTAAAAAGTTACAGGAAGCTACAATTTCATAAATCCTCGAGCATTACAAAAACCAGATCAACAAAATCTATCAAAATTCAATGGATGATACAAAGCTATTTAAAAGCAAAGATAGAACAAGACCCTTTACGTTTGTCAAATGTTGGTGTCATTCAATCATCAAAGCACAAACAAAACAAATGACATTATTCTGCATAAAGTGACTGCCCTCAGATTTGAATAGACAATCTCAGGGTTATTGGACTAGATTTTAACAAATGGCTCAGTAATTAAAGCAATTCTAAGAAATAGAAGTCCAAATGGGTTAAATTATGAAAGATGGGTATCATTAGCAAATCCGAGATGCTTAAAAGGCATGAAAGAAAGATTAATAGTCAGCCAAGGCGTTGTTGAATACAAGTCTGCAAGCAATAAAGTTAGTGAATTCAATGATGTGTATTTTGCATAAGGCAGATAGAGCAAACTTACCGCCATTGTGTCTCTATTCAATAACAGAGACTTAACACTAGTGACTCGTCTGAGAAGTTCAAGTATCCAATTCGCATATTCTATGCCTTTTTTTAAGGCATATCCCACTCCAACAACTGCTTCATTTAGGGATGACAAGTTCTCCACAAAATAGCTTGCCAACAGATTGTGTTCCAAGATATAAATGTTGAAGATGTGGAGTATTAAGCACAAATTTGATTCCGGGCTGAACATCACGTTGTCTACTCAGTGCTAACATCAATCTCTTCAAAGCAGGGGCAGACAACTCAAAAATCAATTATTGCTCTAAACGTAGAAATCCGATCAAAATTACATCCTCAAGTCCAGGGCAACAACGAAAGAGGTTTTGCATGAACTAGAGAGGAAAAACATCACGTATACGGTTAATGCAAAGGACTTTCAGATTTGGGATCCAAAAGGAGTCAGGAATATCAATCTTGCCAGGAAGCCGTAAAACCTCGAGTGAATTGCAAGTGAAAAGACACATGGGCAACTCAATACTCCAGCCAGTGTAGATGTATAGTTCAAGTTCGCGAAGATCACGCCTAATTGCTTCACTCACCAAGATAGCGACACAATTGGGGTCATATTTTGAATAACATGACAGACTAAACTTCTGAATCTGTGCCGAGTTAGATATCAGCACTCTATCTACAAATCCGGCATAACCAAAAAGACTATTCTTTAAATCGTTGTCAGGGTTTAAAAGTTCAGAGAGGTCGTCTCCACAATGAAGATTAGTGACAGTAGTCCAAAGGTTTCTCCATCTTTTTGAGAGGATGCTGGTTTCAGCTGCAACTTTCAGAGGAAGAAAAGAGAGAATGTGAGAAAGAACTTCATCAGGCAAGCTACTGAGCCGATCAGCTTTACGATTACGAATGGACCTCCGACCCATCTCTGATGTGGTACTCTTTTTCATCAAGAATCAACAAAACAAACACAAATGTCTCTACAATACTCAATTTTCTTCTCTTCTTACACCTGGTTCAGTGGCTTCAAAGATTTAATTTCATAAAAAAGAGAAACAACAACAAAGTTTAAGGGTTAGGGTTTAAATTTACAGCTATATAATAAAGGGTCAGGATTGCAAAAACAAATTAGGGTATTGGAGGTAAGAGAATGACATACCTCGTTCTATAGCAGAAGGGTTTTGACTGAAGAGAATAATTCCCCAATTGCTTAGGCCCTGAGCATGGAGCTTTGTCTCTGTTTTTTCGGCATTAGCAAAAGAATGTTGCTTTATTTGCGGGCTAATCTCAACTTGAACCTTTAAACATCACTCGAATTTAATTTTTACCCTTAAAATTTAAAAGAGCAATGTGAATTTTAAAAATAGACTTAAAAACTAAACTTGATAATCCCAATCATTAAATTCACTGTGGATCCAGCATTTATTGGATTCTACTACCTATTCAATGGTTGAGATTATCAAGTCTAATTTTTAAGTCTATCTAGCATTACTCAATTTAAAAATATTAATTTATCTCATAAAAGATATAAATACGTAGCAATGTACATCTAACACTAACTTCCATCTATTTTGCCATTTAGTTATAAATTACACTTTCAAAGTTTAAAATTTTCACATTTATGATCTAAAAAGAATTATATTCATTAATACTTGTTAAATAACTCTTAATTATATCGTATCATAACATTTTTGTATCATGTTTGAGTAAATTAAAATTATTTTTAACACAAAAAATATTTTATTGTCGAGTTAATTACGTTGTGCTATATATTTCACATTTATGACAATTTATATAACACTATTTAATATTTTTTAAAAATTAAAAAGTACTTATTTTTTTTTCCTATGATACTCGTTAAATAATTATTTTTAGTTTATAGCTGTGTTATTCATATTTAACTTTAATTTAATTGGATAATCAAAAGATTTGTATTTAACTGTAGATAGAAAATAACTATTTAACGAGTATTGTAGGTAAAAAATTTGTATTTTATAATTTTTTTAATTTTAAATTTTTTTCTACTTGCTCAAACATGATATGAAGATGTAATGATATAATACAATTGAGAGTTATTTAACGAGTATTAATGGATGAATTTGAATCATAAATATGAAGTATTTAAACTTTGAGAGGTACAATTTATAATTAGTCTAAAGTTTTTTATCGGCAAAAATGGACGGAGTTAACTCTAGGTGTACATTGATACGAATTTATCTCTTTCAGAATATAAATTAATATTTTTAAATTTTAAGGGTACAATTAATATTTGAGTAATTTTTCAGAGTACAAGTTGAAAATACTAAGCTAATTTTGTACACAGCCTGAAATGAAATCGACGGTCATAAGGTAAAAATATTTTGACCGCAAATACAAAAACTGAAACATCTCCTCTGAATGAGATTATTTTCAACTGGCCAAATCAAAGAGCTTTTTACCAAATTGAAGTGGTTTGGCAAAAAAATTCCTATAATGAGGTGATTTTTTAAATTAATTTTTAAACCTATGTAATTTTTTAAAAACGTCAATCTAAACGTTTTTAAAATAAAAATATCAATCCAAATGATATTTTTAACACAAATTAATGCAATATTTCGGGCTAGTTGGTGCACTTGCGAGAAAAACGCCAATTCAATCTAGGTTTTAATGTCATTAGTTTCTTTTTTTTTTTGTTTTTTTCAAATTACGTTTGCAAATAACTACATTCTTATCTTCATTTTCATTGCTAACATGTGCAACTGATGATCTGAGAAATGCATTTTGTAAGTGGTCCAAACAACACAGTGGTTTGTTTTGTTATATATGCTTAGACTAATAAGGAGATATTTTTTAAAGTTATCATCACTTGAATCAGTAAAGTCGAAAAGTTCAGATCAAAAGTCATGAATGAATCTCCCATAATTTCATCAATAGCATCGTTCATGATCTTTTTTCTTTTCTTTTTTTTTTCCAGGATTTGAATGCTCTATCTTTGTGTATTTAATTGCATGAAATCAATACAAGCGTCGTTGCATCTAATTATTCTCACGTTCAAGTCTTGCTATGATATCATCATAATTACTTAAGTTTCATCATACGTACATATCAGCTGAACCTATTTTTGACACCCGTAACTCATACCAATAATAGTATACTTCAAACTCATATCATTAGAACTAAAATTTTCTCCACCTTAGCCCCGATAGATGGTAATAGAACTGTGGCAGAGCTAATAATCACATAGCTGATGTGTGTCAAATTGGCATGAGCTTTGACAACTCATTGCGTAAGTCATGCGATCGTCCATATCACGTAATACCATCGAGATCTGTGTAGAATCCATAAAATGGTAGAATGTTTGATGATAAAGGAAGTGAGAATTTTCAGAACCATCCTATTGTGAGAAATTTTTTCCCAAACCACAGGAGTTTGGTTAAAAAGCTCCGAAATCAAAGAAGGGAGTGAAAGTGTTGGACAAAAATCAAGAGAAAATTAGACAAGATTCTTGATTGTTCTACTTTTTGGCAACTGTGTGCCTCTTTGATAAACTCTGACCTACTTGTATTTGGAGTCTAGTAAGTTGGCAATAACACTACCCACTATTTTTTTGGTACCTCTCGATCCTTACAGCCACGAATTGTTTTTACTGTTTATTTTGTTTTGCTGGTTGAACAACAATTGGCTTGAATTCTATATTTAGTGATTTTTAATATGTCAAGACTTTCTGCCATTATATTTGATTTGAATATCTAGGATTTCATTTTTGGGGTGTTTTTAATTTTAATAGTTAATTAAGCTAGAGTCCTTCTTTCAGTGTTTAAACTAACTTTAGTCATACCAAAATTTTAATTGTTGAAAAATTTACAACAATAGTGGGAAAAATTTTATGAATGTTTATGATCTATCACAAGAATTTGATAGATCAAACAACAATTTGATCGATTTTTCAAAATTCAATTTTAAATTATGTTTAATAAAAATTCAATTTTAAATTTATTGTTAAAAAAAATTGGATAAATTTTTAAAAAATATTAAAATTGAACTTTTATTAAACATATTTTTGATACATCAATTAAACAAAAAAATTTGGTAACACATACCACTGAGGTTGTAATTATTCTCATAAAGAATTCATTCAAATTATAAATATTCTCATAAAAGTGGTAAATAAAAGTGCCAATTATTAATATTTTTTAGAATATATCAAAATTATTATTTTTTTTATCTCCAAAATATTTGCGATCTATCCTGAGATCTTGTGATATATCGGAAGGTTGAAGTAGTCTCCTTCAAATTTTTTTGAAAAACAATAAGTTTGTGATCGATCAACTCTCCCCACGATCGATCAAATCTTCCCATGAAGTTGTAAAGATTTTCACAAATTTGGTAAACATACCATTGAAGTTGTAAATATTTTCACAAATTTGGTAAATATACCACTGAAGTTATAAATATTCAATTACTAATAATTTTGTTACTATATTGAAGGAATATTTATAACTTGAATGGATTGTTTAACAAATTAGTTGAAGTATTTACAATTTCAATGGATTGTTTACCAAAGTTATGGAAATATTTACAAGTCAGTGGTATTTTTGTCAAATTTGTGGTAATAATTACAACCTCAGTGGTATGTTTACAAAAGTTGTGGGCATATTTACAACTTCAATGGATGTTTTAGTAGTAGTTCATGATCGATCAATCAATATGCATGATCGATCAGAAAACACATGCTGAATTTATGAATATTTTACAACTAGTCCAAGATGATATACAACTTCAATGGATCATTTATCACCTTTATGGGAATATTTACAAATTTAATGGTATGGAAGTATTTACAACTTTGATGGATTGTTTACCAAATTTATGGAAATATTTACAACTTGAGTGGTATCTTTACCATATTTTGTGGGAATAATTACAACCTCAGTGGTATGTTTACAATATTTGTGGGAATATTTACAACTGCACTGCATGCTTTACTAGTTCATGATGGATCATTAAATATGTATGATCGATCAGGTGCTGAATTTATGAATATTTTACAACTAGTCTAAGATGATATACAACTTCAATGGATCATTTACCATATTAATGGAAATATTTACAACTTTAATGGAGTGTTTATGAGAATATTTACAACCTCGATGGTATGTGTTACCAAATTGGTGGGAATATTTACCACTTTAATGAATTATTTACTAGTTCATGATCAATCATTAAATATGATTAATTGATCGGAACACAAAGTTGTGCTTAATTCATGAATTTTTTACAAGTAATCCAAGGGATATACAACTTTAATGGATGATGTACTACTTTTCTCGTAATATTTACAACTTTAATGGATTGTTTATGGAAATAATTACAAGTAGAGTGTACGAAATTTGTGGGACTATTTACAAGTGCAATGGATTGCTTACAAATTTAATGGATCATTTACCACTTTTATGGGACTATTTATAATTTTAGTGGTATGTTTACTAGAATTGTGAGAATATTTACAACTTTAATGTATTCTTTACCAGTCGATGATCGATCATTACATGTGATCGATCGATCAGAACACAGTTATTAATTGATGAATATTTTACAACTACTGC